GATTAAATTTATTATTTCCTTTTTAAGGAAAACATTATTATTCCCAATCATATCATATACTGATATATTACATACCGTATTTATCCAACAATAAGCCCATGCTTGGTAATAAGCCCACCAGTACAATTGCAGTCAGGAAAAAATACCAACAAAAGGATTTTCATTGTCCTGTAGTAAGCCCATCCCCCCTACTTTCAGTCAGTGATGTGTTGGCCCCCTGGGTTTATTGCAGAATAAATGTGGTACAGATAAGCTGTGACAAATGACAAACTACTATCAGTAATATATATATAGCTAGTTATATATATATATATATATAGCTAGTTAAATATATATATATAGCAAGTTATATATATATATATATATAGCTAGTTATATATATATATATATATAGCTAGTTATCTACAGCGGTATTTTTATTTCCTTGTTACAGGAAAAGAGAAATGCATGGCTAGACGGGATTTGAACATTGGACCCCCAAACTCTACACAGACGCTAACTGGTCGACAGGGATTGATCCAGTCCAGTTCTTCTACATCTGCATCACGTCTTAAGTATTTTTGAATTGATGATAGCTTTACTCAAATTTGTTATGTTACACCCTGCAGTAGTTTGGGTACTAAGTCTCTGGGGTTCCTTGGTGTTAGATCAGATGAGAATGAGAAGAAAATTGTTGGTGTGAGACCAGATCAGGTGGAGACAACTCTATACTGTTTACACTCCTAATCTGTGTCATTTCTTTAATACTTGAAATCATTGACATAATGCGATCAGTTATGCTCACTTATCTTAAAAAGCTTTCATTTCAATTTTGTTAAAGTGTTAATATTAAACTTAATAAGTTAACAATTTTAAACAATTTTATACATATTTACTGTATCTGTTTTCATATGTGTTTTAATATGAAAGAAAACCTGTCATGTTAGATCGGGAAATTGAACCAAGCTGTCTCCGTGAAAGTCAAGTTCCCTGCCAAATATGCAATTGTTTGCTTTAAAACCTATGACAGATGAGAGAAAACCAGAAAAAAGGCGTAGATGAGTTTGGAGTATAACAAAAACATTTTTACATTTTTTTTCACAAGAATAAACATATTTTAGATTAAGAAACCCTTTTTTTGAAATTCTGTCGCTCCAGGTTTTACATACAAACATGTGTGAGACACTTAAGTTTAATTGGCGTACCAGACGTCGGCCAACTGGGAGTACTTGACTGCTACACATGTGATGTAACCTATGTCATAATACAGTACATGTTGTCTGACACAACATACTCCCTCCGTAGGAACGACCTTCAGCGGATCGTGGTACGGAGGTTATGTATCGAGTCAACTTTAATGACCAAACCGTCACCAGATCCACTGTCTCGGCTACTTAGTCTGTACTCTCTCACAGAGCTGACATCCTTAAAATCACTCCCTTCTGTGTTTGCTATCCTATATATTATACCTGTCATACCTTAAACACTTCCGTGTGTACCATTCCTAAAAATAATCCTCTTGCTATATATATTAATTGGGTACCACCTCCAAAACAGTTCCCTTGGATACCATCTCCAAGTATCAAACTTTTAGATATCATCCCAGGCAAACCCTCTTGGATACTTTTTATTTTTTAAAGTTTAAAGCCATTTCGAAATTGATCCATTTGATATCAAGCTCAAAGCAGTAACCTTAAGTATCACCTCCAAAACAGTTAAAAAAATAATTTATCTCCAATCTCATTGCATCTATTCAGCAATTTACTTTGGAAAACACTAATATCAATATAAACCTGAAGTTACCTGTTCGCAAGAAGACAACACTGCCCAAAGCCAGATATATGCTTGTGTCACCTGTTATATGAAAATAAATCTAAAACCCCTCCCCCATCATCTGTGGACAGTCTTTATATGACCTTGACTGTTGTGAAGATATCAATAAATCCTTTTTCCCCAGATTTGTTCAAGATTTCAATGTATGCTGTTGAAATAAATTTGGGAATGTTTTGTTTTCTGCACTTTTATCCTGTTTTGTGAGATATAGTTAGCAGTATTTGGAGATGTTAAGTGAGTAGACTGTGACCACTGTCTAACAGAACATGTCTGTGGCTATATGGGTGGCCAAGAGATCAACTACCATCAAAATGTTATCATGCCATCTTTGTCCATAATAGAGGCCATAAAGTCAGCCATATTATTTCTGAAAACTGTTCATGTAAGTTGTCAGACAGAATCATATTTAAGTATGCTGGCTTTGTGGATTAGCATCACGTATAATCAACATCATCACCTGGACTGACCCACAATCAGAGTTTCGACTTCGACTTCGGAGTTAAACAAGATGGCTGTGACCTAATGTCTCCATCTCCCTGACACCAATCTGCCACGAATACCATCTACACCAAACATTGTAAGGTGTCATATATAATCATATCCTCATAAAAACACTTAGTAACTCAAAATATATAGATAATATCAACTATGACTTGACTCCTCTAATGGTACAACATGGACCCTTCAAGCCTGTAATCCTCTACCCTCTACCC